ACAGCCAGTATTCCTAAACACCATCCTATATCTGATTTGAGCCCATAACATTCCAAAAGCAATATTCATGACTTTCTACTACCCAGTATCATGACCTGGTAAGAATAACTTTCTCTAGCATCCATAAATGGATCCAATTCTTTTTACGACAGTCTCGCTATGTAGTTCAGGCTAACTCTAAACTCACTGTGTAGCACAGGTGGGCCTCAAATGCACACCAATACTTCTGCTTCAGCCTCCCTGAGTGCTGGGATTACAGGCATGTGCCACCACGCCCAGCTAGGAATCCAATTCTATTCAGGAGCATCTCACCTCTAAAGATAGAACGGAAAGGATTTCTGGGGGGAACAAGAGAGCTATTACGCCACTGATCCCCAGACGATCACAAAAGTCATACATCTACAGAGAAAAGCGCAGCTCCCCTGGCCAAAAGCCTACTGTCAAGACCCAACTTTCATTCTGATGCTTTCAGACACCAAAGTCAGGCCCTGAGGTCAAAAGCTGGCGAGATGCGGTGAGTGTCTAGGATGGCACAGACCGCAGCTCACCTTGCTGGGTTTCCTGGTCGCCGTATTAGCCTGGCTCCAATTCTAGAGCGCGGCGCCAGGCATAAGCAGAAACCGCAGTTTTTCAAAACCCCAACTACAGGGCTCCACTCTTCGGAAACCCCAGCCCGTGGAAACTCGGCCCCGCCCTTCCCACCCCGCACTCATCCCTCTGGCCTTGGCCTCACTGGGAACCTCCCTGCACTGAAAGGTCCCAGAACTCCCACACTCCACCCTAAAGCGTAGGCCTCCAGCGAGAAAACCAACACCACCTTGGTAAAAGTCCGGGACTTACGCAAAAGGCAGGGGTTGGTTACCATAGCAACCACGCAGCTATCGTGAAGCATTTCCGGGCCAGCGAGCCGCGCGCCGTCGTGACGTCACGGTATCATTTTCCGGCCGGTGGCACAGTCGGGTTGAGGTTGTCGGGGTCCGGGACGCCATGGGGGCTACTGGCGACGTCGAACAGCCGCGGGGTCCCGCCGGAGCAGAACGGGGCGGCCCCGAACTGGGTGATGCAGGCGCAGCAGGGCAGCTGGTTCTGACGGTGAGGGCGCCCCCACTGAAGCCCGGGCTCGGGCTGGGCAGGGCCTCGGGCTCCCGGGACCCTGGCCCGCGGGCAGAGAACGCGGCGACTGGTGCTGCCGAGGGCTTGCCGTTTTCACAGTCCGACGACCTGGGTTCAGATTCTGGTGCCTTGGGCCTGTCTGACAACCCCTTAAGCTCTAGGTTCCGCTTCTTTTAAAGTGGAAATTAGTACCAACCTCGTAAAGTTGTAGGGATGGGATGGTGAAGGCGGGTAAAGTGCCCTGCACCTCACCTGCCGTAGAGTAGACCCCTCGGTAAGCACTACACCCCCTTCCTGCCTCCTTTCTGCAAAAGGTCGGTACTTTTAAAGCAGGAGACTTTTCTTCAGTTCTCTTCCTTGGCAGTGCCTCATTCTCCCACATTCCCCAAGGTGGCGGAGGTGGTAAAAGACTCTGAAAAGCAGCAATGTCTAGAGTTAGCTTCCTGTCCCTTCTGCATCCTATCCCAGTGTCTCTGGGATCAGTGGCATTTGCCCCCTTCATCTTCACAGAACCCTTGGAACATAATGATAAAGCACCGGCAGGTGCAGCGAAGAGGCCGCCGCTCCCAGATGACTACAAGGTAAGGCTGACCGGGCTGGGCTTATATCGCAGGCACGGACTTGGATAGGAGGTTTGGGATCCGCAATGCACAAAGCTGAGAGAGATCTACAGTTAGTAGAAAGGGCACTGCACAGGAAAAGAAAAGACTTAAGATTCTGTGTGTGATCTCGAGCAGGTCACTTCCCTCTGTAAACTCATCAGCAAACTTGGGGGAGGGGCGTTAACACTCTAAGACTGACTGGCTCTGAGGTTAACTTTTTTTTTTTTTTTTTTTTTGAGGAACCAGGGATTGAACTCAGGCCGTTGCGCTTGCCTCTGCTGAGCGATCTCCCTGGCCCCAAAGTGAGAAAATGATTTTTTTTTCCCCCGGAGGCTAACTTCCAAAGTCAAAGAGCACACACTCTAGGGTCAGTCAACTGCATTCCGGTACAGTTTGGCATTTATTAACCAGATAACCTGAGACAGGCCACTTGGCCTCCCTGTGTCTGTTTTCTCAACTGTACAGTGGGGCTACAAATAGCATCCAGCCCAGGAAAAAGAGAGCACTAGATGGGCCTTTGGTGACTGGTTGTTTGTTTGTTTGTTTGTTTTTAACCTGGTTGGTGATTAAATAGGTAGTCACTATAATTATTAAAGCGTATAGATTTTCTGCATAAATACATTGAAATACTTTTATGTTCATAAAATACTTTGAAAATCACCTGCTTCATAGTTATGAGAGTGGAACAAAATCATGCTGCTTATGTATTGGCCCAGATTTTTAGGACATAGCTATGTTCATTGAAGGCTCTCTAGTATCATTGTTAAAGGATCTTGTATGAGCAGCTGGCTGGGCAGATTGGAAAAGGATATGGAATGTCTGATTCCATGGCCCTCCTGAATGCAGCTTTACAGATCCTGCCATCTCTATGGATCTCCTCCGAGCTGTCCTGCAGCCTAGCATCAATGAAGAGATCCAGACAGTCTTCAACAAGTACATGAAGGTGAGAAGGAGAAAAAGCCTTAAAAGCTTACAGGAAAAAGATGCCTGGGCAGCCTCATTTCTCCCAATACCACTGATGTATATGGCACACACAGATGTCTCAAGTTTATCAATTTTGCACTCTCCCTTAAGAATATTTTCCCTCCTTAGGGGTAATTCCAGCATCATTTTACCAATAAGATCAGGAGCCCAGTTTTGAAGCAGAAAAAAAAGAGAGAGAATATAAATCATAAAACAGATTGATGAAAAAAATGACTACATATGTGATAAATAAAACAAATATAGTAAAATGTTAATATTCTAGGTAATGGGTATTAGATGTTGAACAAGTCTATGTTTCTGTATGTTTGAATGGGGTTTTGTGCTTTTTTTTTTTTTAATGTATTTGGTACAGTCTCACTACACAGCTCAGATTTGTAGTGATCCTCCTGTTTTCAGCCTCCCCAGCGCTGGGATTATAAGCTGTGCCACCACGCCCAGACTCACTGGCCCTAGCCAGGGTGGGGCCGGCCCACATATGGTGTCAGGGATTTAACCCTGTCCCTGCACTTGCCAAAGCAGGTACTTAGTCCACTGAGCTAACTCGCAGGTCCAAATGAAGGTTGGTTGGTTGGTTGGTTGGTTGGTGGTAGTTGTTGTTGTTTTTAACCAAGAAACAAACTCAGGACCTTGAGCTTACCAGGCTGGCACTATGCCACTGAGCTATACCCCTGGCCCCATGAAATTTTTAATATGAAAATCTTGGTTATTGGGAGGCTAATGCAGGAGAAGAACAAGTCCGGATCAGACTGACTAGATTAGCCAAATTCTGTTCCAAAATTTATCAATAAGAGGACTGGCCAGATAGCTCAGCAGATTAAAGTGCCTGCTTAAGCAAACTCAGGGACCAGGTTTGATCCCCAGCATGCTGTACCAGCCCCGCCCCCCTGAAACAACGCTTGAGGCTGGACGCGGTGATGCACACCTGTAATCCCAGT